CAAAATCTTTATAGGAAATGGAACTTTGAACTTCTCATTCTATCGAATTCACTTAAAAGGTGTCATTGGATTGTCCCTGGAATCATTGTAAGCATTCAAGTTTGATTCAATGAAAAAATATCCCGCAGCATTGGTTGACTTTGCTACAGCTCTTATGTGCCCTTGGTAGTGCCAGTGAGTGTTAGGACACAATTCTGCAGATTGAAGGAACAATGTCATTGAATTTGTTTGAAACATTTGTACTAATTCACCAAGGTTCTGGTATTACGAGGCCGCCACGGGCATCTCCATATGGTAGCCCTAACCATAGCTACAATCCGATGATATCTCAACCAACGGATTACGGCCTCGTACCTGCCACGCAAAGCGATGGCCCACATTCCTTCCATTTCTACCATAGCAACATTGCTTCAAAATAATGTCAGTAATTTAAGCAGCCTTCAGACAGATCAACACAGAGTAGGCTTTGAAGCTCCCCGCTGTGTTATCTACTGAAGCTTTTCATATCATTAGATTCAAATTGTTTGTACTTGCGCGCTCGCTTGTTCTGCTGACCTTGTTGCAACGGTTGCATTGTCATGGTCATTCTCTTTATTAAGAACTGGTTTTCAAGGGTCAGTTTTTTGAGAAAAATAATTGTCAAACTTGACCATAGTTCAAAATTCAGGACTAATACACTCCTTCGAAAACTCTGTCAATATTTTGTGACCAGAGGACTATTTGTAACTGTTTACCACATGGGACTTCTTATTGTTTTTCTAGCATATCCTAATGAGTTATGGTGGTAAGCCTATCATCAAAATTTTAAGTGTTCAACTAGTAAACAGCGGCGGGAGGTTGTTTTTCTTCACCGTAAATCCAGTATATATAATCACAATGCGTGAGTACTGACCAGTTTTTCAAAAGAGACCATCACTGATAACACGATCTAGTTGCTATATTAAATTCGCACGATACTCTCCATTTCAAAGTGCTAGCATAATGCATGGAAGTGACGGAGGTGGAGGTGGCTTCAGTCTGTAAAAACTCGATTTTTGTTATTACTCGAGAATAGACCATGTCCAGGTGTACTTGCAACACGGGTATTGAAGCCTCCATGACGAAGTTCTGCAAAGATAAATGGAAAAGAGACCTAAGGGAAAATTCCTGTATGAGCTGAAGTTCGAAGTATGACCAGTATCAGCTTTACTTGAGTACTTTTGCACCGATGGCATCAGTCGGATGGGTGAGGAAAATTTTTTAATCCTATTTTTTGCATCAGGTGGGTGCCTGTTGGATTGATTCACTGCTGCTTACTCATTGTTCCATGCACTTTCCCCTAGGAAGCGCCTTCCTGTCGGATTGTGACATTTCACTAGTCGAAATGCTTAAATCCCCGAAACTAAATATGTTATGACAGGCCTTGTCAGCGGACTGGCACTTGCCTGTAAATTTTAGGTATTTGCTCATGAAATCTTCCAAGATGGTGGCGGCAAAAATAAGTAGATCATTATTGTCAGTAGTAGTCGTCTTGAATTAACCGAATTCGGAGAGAGCAAAAATTCAACTTTCAACACACGAGGAAAACGGTTAAATAATTAGACTCTGCAGGCAGGGTGTCAAGCGCACGAAGACCCATAATCATATATAAAGTGAATCAAATAAAAACTAGGGACCCGCGTTACAGCAATGAAACTCGTTAACATAGAAGTGCGGATCGAAAGATATGTACAAATCATTCTATCTAATGGTTTTAGCTATTGGAGAGGAATATACTTGTCTTCCAGCCTTCGGTAAAACACGTCGCCATAAAAATTCAGGTACAAGGGAAGTTCTCTACAGTGTATCTGATGCGTCGATTTAAATAAAGCATTCATTTCCTCCCCGCACTTGAGTTCCGGGAGAAGGAGACTGGATCCAGCTTTGGCATGAAAGCAAATTCTTTGCCGCAGTGTGTTTCCTTCAATCAGTTACATCGTGTATGTACTGACACTGTATTTCGTTGACCCGTTTTATTACTTGCCTAGGACTAGTAAACAATACTATCTCAAGTGACAGCGTACTTGTTTGATTATCAATGTTTCAACTTCTTCTAGTATTATGCGAAATACAATCATGACATTGATATCCCGTACGCGATTGGAATAGATAGATGCTGTCAGTCCATTTGACTTAAGATGCATGTGCAAAATCAGTTTCTGAACTTCTTCATTTTCCATCAGGCCATCGGTAATGAACATCTTGTTCCTACGTTGATCTCTTTCAATAAAATTGTGCGGATCATATTTTGGAGTGGATCTGATTGAAGTCTCGAAGGCCAGTTCGAATGTTAAGGCTTGACTTATCCTACTAGGGACCGAGTTTCATCTGAATGATCATACTGGATCTATGAGATAGTAGATTACTCTGCGGACATACAAAATGATGAATGTTGTGCGCTCTATAGAAGATCAAGACCAGAGGACTTCTCACGTCAAAGTTGATGCTATCAGAACCAGCGTCCCGGTGAACCTTGTATATAAGGTCTATGTCTTTTCCGTTTCTGACGTCCCCCATGCCTCAAGACAGTACTGTTCCAAATTCAGTCTTGCTTACTGGATTGGATCTCTCTGATTATTTTGACGGATTCTTCTATGGCAGTGTCATTGCAGCTGGGTAATCAGTCTTTTATTACTATAGTTTATTGGGGATTTCTGACACGACGCAGACTTTTTGGTATAATCATCGTGCAGTCATGGATCTATTTCAATTCCAAGAGAGACAAATTACTTCTGAGGTGTTTTGTGCGTGGATAATTATACGGCCATTGAAGCTTTTCATACGTATTTATCGATGCTTCTAGGTCGCAGTATTGGTGTATGCCTATCAACTCCTAATAGCTCGACGCTTATAATGAAATGAATTTTTAGTCTTTTGGGGTTTGTGGCTACGTGTTTGGATATTCAAGGCCTTCACCATTACCTGGTGTGCTGATGTGTATTTTATTTATCTGATAGCAGTTCTGAGACCTATTGTACAGGTGCAACATTTCGGAGACTTGAAATCTCTTGCCTTGATCACAAAGTATGCTTTTCCCAATTTAATTGTAAGGCTGCTGATACCAAAACATTTCGACTTTAGGCCATTGATCATGGAGTATCTCATGATACTCATTATTGTATTCTCTGTTGAGTTGTTTCTTGCTTCACGTGTATGGTTGCGTAAGTTGCAGGATCATTTCACTCCCAAACAAATACTTCAACTCACTTTCAATGGTGAATCTAGTTCAAAGATGCCATTGGACTGTCCCTGTACTTATCGTGAGAATTTGATTCAAGAAAGAAATATTCGTTAGTATTCACATTCTTTTCGTCGCAGGTGTTGTGTGCCCTTGGGAGTGTTAGTAAGTAACATGTTTGACCTGAAAAGACTGTCCTGATTCCTATGTTAGGCGCTGGTATTTCCACCATAGTAGGACTGCTCAAAAATAATGTGGATACCTTGAATATTCTACAAATGAATAAACAGAGGGTAAACAGCTAGAATCCTCTCATGCATCACGTATCTTCTAAAGCTTTGTATATCACCAGATTGAAATTGTCTGCACATGTGCACTTTCTTCGTTTGCTGATGTCATTGCAACTGTCGCATTGTTATGGTCTCTGTCCTCGTCCAGAGCTGGTATTCAAAGGTCAGCTATCTTTATTTAAACGTCATTGGAGAGTTTAGAACACAAAATCTAGGACCAATACCCTCCTTCGAAAACTTTGCCAGTATTTTGTGACAAGAGGACTTTTTGTAAGCCTTTACCAGATAGTACTTCTGATTATATTCCTGGCATTTCCTCAAAAATTGTGGTGGTAAGTTTCAAATAGTGGACCTTTAAATCATTAACTCAAGATGAATGTCAGGATGCTACTCTTCTTCACCATAAGTCAGGTCTACATAATCACGATGCGTGAGTAATTATCGCCAGTTTCTAATATTTTCCTTATGAGTACGATGTTAGTGGCCATATTGAATTCGCGCGACAATCTCCGAGGCAATTCTTCTACAGGGGTCATTAATGGCTCTGAAATGCAGTTTGAATCTGATTTTTCAAATAACTCGTTCCCTAACGCTGGCCGTGGCCAAACCTATGGAATGGCTTCTTTACATGCCAGTCGAAAATCAGATCATAACGTCGATTTTGTTCCATTTCAAAGCAGTGCTAGTGTTACTCAGGGAGAAGGCGGCAGTGATAGTTACAACTTAGCCCACTAGTAAGGAAATATCTGATCTTCATGACCTAGGACTGGAAGTCGAATCGCTCAATTTTTGTATCATTATAAAACGAACAAATGACCACTGTTTATTATAATGTACAAAAATGAGTGAATTTCGTTCAAAGTAGTCCATGCCCTGGCTTGTGGATCGGGCCTCAGATAGTGTCTTAATGTCCTGGTTATATCGTTTACTTTTGCAAACTTGAAGCAATTTAAGTGATCGGGATACTTCATTTGGAACCTCCATCACTAGAAAATAGAATTAAAGGGAGTATGAAAAATGGGGATGGGCTATGGAGAGTGGGCAAGAAATGAGATGCAGACATCCCTGTATACAATTGGCGATCACCTATGTCAATGCATGAAACTGTTCCCTCTTCACGTAGCCTGCCGATTTTCGTTATATTTACAGCAGTTATTGACAGACTGGGGGAACCGCAATACTCGTGCTTGATCGAATAGTCTACTGTGGACCACGTCGTTCTTTGCGTGGTTGCACTCATGTTACAGGATGCAACTTGTTTTGAAGTTCAAATATCCGTACTACTGGAATTGCAGAAACTTCACAGAAGAGCTGTCATTGTGAAATCGAAAATCACAGTGATTCTGTGTAATTTCATTAGTACACCTTTAGACAAACATGTGAGGATTGATTAATTTGCACACCCCAGGTGCTTGCGCGCCAAGTCATGCGGCTTTTAGACGACTGATCTTCTCAAGAACAGCTTATACAACAAATCTGTTGCTGAAAGTGTAGCAAGGACCCACCATTTACATGGCGAGATGGCCGAGCGGTCTAAGGCGCCAGACTAAGGACCAGGACGCTTACGTCCTGATATCTGGTCCGAAAGGGCGTGGGTTCGAATCCCACTCTCGTCATAGAAATGTTTTTGTCATGTCCAGTCTTTTTTCTTTTCGTCTGGAGGTTTTGCAATTCCGAGCTTTCGAGCTTTGGACCATCTTGACAAATGCGCGAGCAGATGCTGTGCAGTCGTCGCGACGCGCCCAGAAATGATGGAAACCCTAACCTTAAAATATAGACCCCTTGGATAACGACGTCCACCTTGCACTTCGTTTGAAACGACTTTTGACCTGTCTGCAACATCTACTCTGACAAAGGCCAACTCGCCATGTCTCGCTTTGTCAGAGCCTCCAAATATCGGTGAGATCCCGTTCTATTCTGCGGTCAGAGTCGATGTCGTGTGGATCTTAGTGGTTGGCATGGAGGTACCTCCTTCGTTCTTTCATTTCAAATCCGTTTTCTTACACTTTAACTAGCTTTGACCAATTATGAACAAGTTCTAACTATTTCTTTACAGCCACGTCTTTGGCCAACCCGCCAAAAAAGAACACAATATCGAAAATGTCAAAGTAACCAACAGCGCCTGGGACACCAATGTTGTCTCTGCCTCCGGAAAGTACCTCAGTATCAACTGGAATGCCTCCGGCGGTGGCGCATTTGCTATCATCCCTCTTCCTTCCCCATTCGCCCCGATCCCAAACTTTCCACACAAGCTCCCTGACACCCTTGCTCTCGCTCGAAGCCATACCGCACCAGTGCTTGACACCGACTGGTCCCCACATAATGACTCTATCGTCGCCTCTGCAGGTGAAGATGGTAAGGTCATGATTTGGAACATCGATGCTTCGGCTTTTGACGAGTGGGGTGCTGATGATTGGGAACCTCGGGATTTTGACCCCGTGTGGAGGATTGATGCTTCGCCACGAAAAGTCGGGCAGGTCCTCTTTCATCCTACGGCTCAAAACGTGCTTGCAAGCGCTGGCGGCGACCTTTCTGTCAAGTTATGGGACCTCGCTCAGACCGAGACTCCAAAGAGCGTGCTCACGGGACATGGTGACGCTATCCAAAGTTTGGCATATAACCCGACTGGGACATTGTTGGCTACGACGTGCCGAGACCGTAAACTCCGTCTGTTTGATCCTCGAGCTGGAGGAGAAGCTGTGAGGATCACGGATGGACACGGGGGTATCAAGGCTTCAAGATTGGCTTGGATGGGCGAGCTGGACAAGATTGCAACTACTGGGTTTAGCAAAATGTCGGATAGGCAGGTTAGCATTTGGGAGGTCGGAAGCCTGAAGAACGAAAAGACTATTGCGGTTGACCAGAGTGCGGGAGTGGTTATGCCGTTTTGGACGGATAACAATATCTTGTTCCTCGGTGCGTACTTTCCCCAATTGTTATAGCATACCCTAGCTAATTGTTTCTGCAGCCGGCAAAGGAGACGGCAACATCCGCTACTACGAATACGAGTCTGATAACCTCTACGCTCTCGCTGAATACAAATCTTCCGACCCTCAACGCGGCATGTGCTTCCTTCCACGTCGTGCTCTCAACGTCTCGGAATGCGAAATCGCCCGAGCATACAAAGTCTCTGGGTCTACCGTCGAACCTATCGCGTTTATTGTCCCTCGAAAAGCAGACGGGTTCCAGAGCGATATCTTCCCTCCTGCATCGTCCATTGAGCCGTCCATGAACGCAGCCGAGTTTTTCAGCGGAAAGACAGCGCCAAGAAAACTTGTGGACTTGGCTAGCGGTACAACGTTTAGCGGTGCTGCGTCCACGACGAGTTCAGCGCCTGCACCGGTACCAGCTGCGGCACCTGCTCCGACTGTGACGACGACGCTACCAGCACCGACTGGGGCCGCAGCTGTCCCTGCTCCTTCTCCAATTGCCAAATCCTTCTCTTCACCTCAACCTTCTTCGACGATCACTTCTGCTCCTCCTCCGTCTTCAGCACCCGTCCACACGTCAAACGGTTCCTCGGAAGAAGTCGAAACGCTCCGTACCGAAAACGCTTCTTTGAAATCCCAACTCCGCGAAGCGAGAGAGATGATTAGGAACCTCGAGTTGCAGGTTGAGGCGCAGAGGGTTAATGCGAGAAAGGCGGCTCAGGCGTTGATTGATGCTGCCAGTTAGATTGTATTTGTTTTCAAGTGGGTTGGGGAGTAGGATGGGGCTTCGGTTTGTAGGGAGTTGGGGTGGAACGGAATCGGATACGGAGATTTGAAGAAATTGTCTGATGTTTTTTCTGGTAGTGGAACGTGACAAAATATTTTACATATACAAAGTACATAGATAAGTACATGCATGTACGTACAGAAGACAAATGCGAGTGTGAATACTGTTTGGATCTCTGCCTCCTGATGAGGCTGTTTGCGGGTCACTACCTTCGGTATGATATTAATTACGATCATTACCAATGAAGAACAATTATTTCTTCACACTGGCGATGCCTTTCTTGAATGTCGCTCGTCTCGACTGTTTGTGTTTTGTTGGGCAAGTAGGGCAGGACTAAATGACAAGTGTAAGAAATCATGGCCGGACTAGTTTCGGAAATGCAGTACATGCTTAAATGCCTTTTGTTTTGTTATCGACTTTGCCCTGCATCGGAATGCAAACTGAAGGTGTATTTTGCATAAGGATGTCCGCAGAAAAAATACATGAAACACACTATATGTAACTCTCTTTAGAACCCATTGACAGTAGTAAGGAAACTGCCCAATTCTTATGCCTTACAAACAACCTATCTTTCATTAGCCCCATTTTGTACTGCTCCCTTGTCAAGTAAAAGTTGGACTATTTGTTTACTGCCAGAACTGGCATTAGATGCGGCTTTTATGGCAGATCCAAATTGACCACCTTGGAAATTACTACGTTTAATCACAGCGCTTTTCATACTGTTAAAATCAAGATCTCACCTTGAATATTTGGATCTGCACAATGATCAAGTAGTAGCTGGACAATACTTTGATGACCCATATGTGAAGCAGCCTGCAGTGCAGTACCATAATAACCACCTTGAATTTTTGCATATTTTTAAATTGATTTTAGTTTTTAATATGTGATTTCTTCAGATCATAAGCAGCAATCACCTTGCAGATTTACATCTGCTCCCTTTTCAAGGAGCTGCTGGACAACATTTTGATTACCCATAAATGAGGCAGCCTGCAGTGCAGTCCCATAATAACCACCTTGGGTTTTGGTGTATTTTTTGATATGATTTTATAATTAGCCTGAATTTTCCCCAGATGATAGATATTTGTCACCTTGCAGGTTTATGAATGCTCCCTTCTCAAGCAGTTGATGAATGATTTTTTGATGCCCCCAAATTGAAGCAGCTTGCAATGCAGGACATCTACCACCTTGAATATGTCTTAGTTTGACATTTCTGTTGAAGAAGAATAGCTTGACCTTGAAGGTTTGGATCTGCTCCTTTTTTAAGCAGCAGCCGGACAATTGCCTGATGACCTTCAGATGAAGCAGCCTGTAATGCAGTTCCATTTTCACCACCTTGGATTGCGTTTTTATCGAAATTTGTTCCAGATTAGAGTGATCTCACATTGAAAATTTAAATCTGCTCCCTTTTCAAGCAGTAACTCAACAATCCTTTTATGCCCCTGATATGCAGCAGCTTGCAGTGCAGCTCCCAAATAACCACCTTGGAATATGTCCTTTAAGTGACATTTTTTGTTTAACAGATCAATGACAGCTTCACCTTGATTATCTAGGTCTGTTCTCTTTTCAAGTAACAGCTGGACAATGTCTTCATGTCCTTGATGTGAAGCATCTTGGAGTGCAGTCCCACCTTTATTATCTCGGATCATGTCTTCAGATATTTTTTCAGATCAGATATAGCTTCTTCACCTTGAAGGATTGGATCTGCCCCATTCGCAAGCAGCAGCTGTACAATCTCTCGATGACCTTGAGATGAAGCATTCTGGAGTGCAGTCCTGCAGCTGACACCTTCACCTTGGATTATGTTCTCAGTTTGCAATTTCTTTGGTTAACAATAGCTTTACCTTGAAGGTTTACATCTGCTCCCTTTTCAAGTAATAACTGCACAATCCTGTGAAATCCCCTGCATGAAGCAGCTTGCAATGCAGTCTCATATCCACAAACTGAGATTAAATCTTTCAGTGGAATATTTCTTTTGGATAAAGAATAGCCTACCATAAAGGTTTGGATCTGCTTCCTTTTCAAGCAGCAGCTGGACAATCTTTTCATGCCCTTCATATGAAGCAACTTGTAGTGCATTTTCATCTTTACCACCTGGTAGTTTTTCTTTTATTGTTGCTATCTCTTCAAATCAGGAAACACTTTACCTTGAATATTTGGATCTGCTCCCTTTTGAAACAACAGCTGGACAATCCTTTCATTCCCATGATATGAAGCACCCCAGAGTGCAGTCCCATTTTCACCACCTTTGATAATATTTTTTTCAATTGTGTTAGTTCTCCAGATTAGGGATAACTTCACCTCGAAGATTTGGATCTGCCCCCTTATCAAGCAAGACTTTGACAATTACTTCAGAGTTTTTCCATGAAGCTGCTTGCAGTGCAGTACCATGTTCACCACCTTCAATTGTATTTTTAATTAGAACATTTCTTTGAACCAAGAATATTTTACCTTGAAGGTTTGGATCTGCTCCCTTTTCAAGTAACAGATGAACAATGCTTTTGTTCTGTTGATCTGAAGCAGCTTGCAGTGCAGTCCCATATTTCCCAGCTGGATCTCATCTTTGAAGTGCAGGATTTTCTTAGATCAGAAGCAGACTTACCTTGAATGTTTGGGTCTGCTTCATTTTCAAGCAAAACTTGGACAATCTCTTGAAACCCATTGTATGAAGCAGCCTGCAAGGGAGTCCCATATTCACCCCCTCAAATTATTTCTCTTTCAGCATCCTATTTTGTTAAGCTCAAAAAAAACTAGTTCCATGGCTCACCTTGAAGATTGGGATTTGCTCCATTTTCAAGTAGCAGCTGAACAACCTCTTTATATCCCTTAGATGAAGCAGCTTGCAGTGGTGTCCCATATTTACCACCTCAGATTTTTTTTCGGTTCAATCTTCCACTGGATT